GGGGGGTAAGTCATCATTTTGCTGGTTTCGAATTTGTTAAGAAATGACCAGCCTTCATAGTTTGCAAATTTTTGCCCATTTTAACGAAAATGGTGTTTACTAAGCTAAATTTTTTTTGTGTTATTCATGAAGGATTGTGATATTTTAAAATATTTTTTTTAACTTTGTCAATTTGTTATAAAATGTCAGAAAATTTAAACAAATTTTTTTTACGTTTTTCTCAATGAGGGGCGTAAGGGTTAATGAGGGTTAAAATTAAAAAAAATATTTTAAAATAGCCCTATCCTTATACAATCAAGATTGTTAGAAAATTTGTCAACTTGCGAACAAAATGTATGCAACTTCCTATTTCTCAGCAATCACGTTATACGCTGACTCAAAAGCTATGCTGCAGAAGCGTTACGTTACGATGGCACTATTTTTTTTTTCATTTATTTGTTTAAAGTCGCATCAACCACTCAAGGGTTATTAGCGACTCGGAGAATACATAATTAGAGCTTGTTGTACAATTTAATCATTCTGAGGTACTGCAGTAGGTTTTGGATCGATGTGTTGTCCTTCACATTGTCCTTTAGGGTTGGTTTTATGTTATGCCGTTGCCTGATTGGGGTATATTTCCTGCAGTGGATGATGATATGTTCTATTGTGAGGTGGTCTTTGCACATTTCGCATATTGGTGGGTCTGTTTAGTGTGGCCCATAATAATTCGAGATACCATCACTTGGTCTGGTCTAGGTAATTTCTAGGTAATAGATTTTCCATAAAAGTCGTTTTTATTGATTTTGTACGGGATTTTGTTAATGAATTCCACTCTTTATTCCAACAATCTTTAATTTTTTCTTTAAGAGTGGAGAGTAATGTTTCCGCATGTGTGCTGTTGTCGTGGTGGTTGGGGGTAGTCGAGTTAGCTGCTTCTTTAGCTGCGCGATCCGCTTTATCATTGCCAGTTATATCAATGTGGGAGAGGATCCACATTATTGTTATTGAATTGTTCTTTTGGCTTGATCTGGTGTAAGCTTCTTGACATTCTTGGATGACAAAGTCGCTTGTCCATAGTTTCTGTATTGCTGAGATGGCGCTTGTGGAGTCACAGAAAATTGCAAAATTTGTATTTTGGTCGGTTAAAGTTGATTTGATGGCGTGTGTAATTGCTTGAAGTTCGCATAAAAAGATAGGTGTTTTGTGGTGAAATTTAACTTTTTCGGTTGACTGGTTCCTGACAATTGCATATCCGGATCCGATTCGTGTCTTGGACCCGTCTGTGTATATGTGCACGTGGTTTGCGAATTCCGCTTCTAATTCTTGAAATATAGCCTCTAGCATGATTGGATCAGAGTTCTTTTTACTGTAGTTGAGTAGAGAGGTGTTAGTGCTAATTCTTGGAATGGTCTTGGAATACATTATGGAAGACTGGGTTCTGTGGGTGGGAGGCGATTCTGACTGCAAATTTGATACTTACGTATTTTCTTCTGATTCGTAGTGGAGTTTCTGAAGCTTCGCTAAGGATGCTATCGATCGGGCTAGAGGGGAAGGCGCCCACAGTTAATCTAAGAGCATTGTTATGTACAGGGTCTAATTTCTTTAGTATGTTGGTGTTGGCTGAGTTGTAAATGATTGATCCATAGTTCAGTTTTCATCTCACTATTGCCTTATAAGTTAGGAGTAGGGTTTTAAGGTCGGCTACCCAGTTATTTGCAGCTATTGTTCTAAGTATGTTAAGTCGTTGGTAGCTATCAGTTTTGAGTTTATTAATATGAGGCGTCCATGTTAGCTGAGAGTCAAATGTTAATCCTAATAGTTTGATAGAAGATGTTTCCTTGATTACACTGTACAACAGCCAACTGATTTCGTAACGGCTACTATGAAATTTATATAGTTTTATTCAGGAAAATTCACAGATTCTTCTCGTGTAAAAAGCCACTGAATAGCTGCTACGGTAAAAGCACAAAAAGTTTCCAAAGTTGAAAATTTTCAATTTTCTTTAAATTAATTTTCTCAAAAACTGTACGTCCTAGAGAAAAACGGATTTCAGATCCGTATTCACCTCGCAAAAATCTATAAGAATTTCACAGTAGCCGTTACGAAATCAGTTGGCTGTTGTACAGTGTAATCTAACAAATCTAGATCTTCACAGGCATGCAGACAAATTTCACCTTTAATTGCTTTTCCCTTTTGTAATCGCGCGAAGCTCACACTAATGCAAGACATATATAAAGAAATATGTACATTTAACTTTTTTTTATTAACTCCTTGTCTTATAACATCGAATCAGACGTGTGGCGCACGTTATACTTCAAATATGACATTCCCAAATCGTGTTTGCATAAAAATCAAGTTTTGAGATCGATACCAATTACAATTTGTATAATTGAAGATCGCTAAATCCAAAATATACCTAACATTTCAACGTTCTTTATTATCTTAAAATTGAAGAAATAATTGGGCAATTCTAATTGACGCAACTGCCGAAAAACTTGTAAGTTGAGGAGTTAATTAATATAGTACATGATAGTGATTGCTAATAAAATATTCTGATTTTTAGTTAACTAACATTCTGTTATTTTATTTGTCAGCCATTTGTGAAAGAATTTTTGTCTTTGTTTTAAAGCGCCTATGAAGACTGTTATCTAGGACGACCGCCACGAGTGCCGGAATCGAGACTAGTGAAGGTCTTTTTACTTTTTGTAGAGAAGCCACACTGCACTGTGTGGTTATGTGATACCATTTTTCTTGTATTGCGTTGAAGCTTTACATTTTCACTAATCCTGTAAAAAGAAACATTAAAATAACGAGTCGCATCGTGTTGAACTCATCTTGTCGCGCGAGATATGTAGCATAAGCCCCTACAGTTAAACAGTTAATACATTCTGTATTCGGTCCGGCCGACCGGGCTGCGAATGTGCTACCTCACCCGATCGGGTATACGCGACAAACGCTCCATTTCTAGATCCCGAATTCACTGTCCCTAAGAATTCATCTCCAAACAGACATAGCACCGGTCCATATTCCGATGGGGATTTCCATGCCACCCTTAGTACCTGTGATAGCGAGAATGAACCTCAAGCAACGTTAGACAAGTCACCGTCGAGGGCGTGGCCCCGAAGGGCGGGTTTCCTCTACAGCACATCCATTTCTGCCGGTGGCATCCGTTGCTCAGAAACCTGAGATTGACAGCTATATGGGTGAAAGTTGTGCTGTCTACATCACGGACTCGTCTCGGATACTAGATTGACTGGGTCCATCACTCCCACACCTTAGCGACGGCCGTGCATTCACCCAACGCACAATCCCATGTAAATAGGACTCCTCCTACGGCGTTTGATGGGGAACCGCCGAGGGCACTCATCGCGACGCCTCTTCCACGCAAGTCTGCACACCAAAGGCATCCGTTATCCAGACGTTCTGGAATTGGGCAGCACCAAGATGGCTTTTTAGGGTAAGCGGTGCGTGGTCTTCAGGATCTTGTCTCAGATACTAGGGCAAGCCCCGACACCATGCAAAAGCATCAGAGTTGCGCGCGGGATACCAGAAATTGAAGTTCGCTTGGTAGAGGCAATAGAATCGGGTTCTTAACGTGGTTGACGTGATACAGTCGGTTTATTTGAGGTTAATGCGGCAAACGCTACCGGATTTGTTTTTATTTGATGTTGACGCGGCTTATCTGCTAACAGTTTATTGGCGCAGGGTCTTACAAACTAACGCAATGTCTTACAAACTAACGCGATGTCTATAAACGCGGAACGCAATGTCTTATAAACGCGGAATGTCTTACAAACTAACGTAATGAACGAACAAACTATTTACACTTAACGCACTATTTACACACTTACAAACTATCACTGCTCTCGCTCAGGTCTAATGCGGTGGAACGCCCGCAGATCCACCGGGTCCTCTTCGGGGTGGGCTATGGCAGACGACGGTCCTCCGGCTGCAGCGGAGAACTGCCTTTGGGACCTCGGCCCGTATCCTTATCCTCTTGGCATTCACTCTCTTCACTGAGAGCGTGATGCCGTTTGATAATGCCTGTTTCGCCGGTCAGCGATTGGTGAGGCGAGGCAAATCTATAAAGATTTCTTCTTCTGATTCTTGGCCTTCCTTCGGTGGGACGGTGGCTGGCGGCCGTGGGATCCTCCGGACTTCCTCGGTCTGGACTGCCCTGCTTTCGACGGGACGTTCCTCCTTCTGTACCGCTCGAACGTCCCTTCGCCGCTTTTCGGTTTGAACGCCTCGGTTGAGGCGGAGAGACCAGGCGGAGAGTCGCCCCTACTGTGGCGACGGGGGCGCGCTTTCCCTGTGGTTTGTCTGGCTGCTGCACTTCGGCGGGCGGCCGTTTCTTGGCGGGCTTCCGTCTCCTCCTCTGTCGGCTCGTTCCGGATGCTTCCGGGAGGTGTGTTGGCAGTCCTGGCAAACTGGACGTGCCGGGTGCCTCGCTTCGGTCGAGTTCTGGTAGGCCAAGTGCTGGCGATTTCGGCATCTTGCTCGGTGGACATCCTGTGGATCCGGTGATCTCGAGAACATCTCTACATTGGATCTCTGGAAGGGTGCATCGGTAGGTGCCGATTCGGATGGTGGTCCCGAGCTGCTCGAGGAGGTCCACTCCCAGGATCATGACATAGCTCATGTTAGGCAGTACGGCGTAGCGGTGTTCCAGGCTCCGGCCATCGATGGTGATGACGCTGTTAATCTGGCCGGCGGTGGCAGCTGGGCTTCCATCGACGACTCGTACCTCCTCTGGCTCCTTATCCCAGTGGTCGCCATGCCACTGGCAGTACGCTGCTAGGTCACTGCGAAAGTATGATCGGGTGGCTCCGGTGTCCACGAGGGCCTCGCCTTTGTATCCCCACGCCTCGAAAGGGATGTAGATTCGCCTGTCCTCTTCTACCGGATGGACCGGCGTGTTGGTAGAGGTGCTGGTCCGGCGACGCCTCAAACGCCGCTCCGCGCGGCGTTTCCCTGCTGGTTGTGGCAGGGGCAGTTCCGAGTCTGGCGGCCTTCTGTCCCGCAGTGGCTGCAGAACAGTCTTCCCGGCTGACGACATTCGCTCCGGAGGTGTCCTCGTTGACCGCATCGCCAGCAGCAGGTCTCCCAATTGTAGCGTGCTCCCACTTCGGCTGCGTAGCTCCTCGGGGTAGCGCGTGGCGGACGCGCGGCCTGTACCTCCTGCTCCAACTCCTCGAACTCCGTGATCATACGGGGTAAGTCGTCCCTGGTGTTGAGGTCCGTACGGCGGATGTACAGCCTGTACTCGGGAAGCAGGTTGCGGTATGCATGGGTCAGCTGCTCCTCGTCGGTTAGGCCCCCATAACGTCGCATCATGGTTTCCAGGTCGGTCAGGTAGGGCTGCCCTGTTTTTCCGGGCTGCTGTATTCTCCGGAAAACTCGGCTGTCCACTTCGGCCGTGAGATGCTGCGGGCGGTACTCCCGCTTGAAGGCTCCCAGGAAGTTGGCCCATGTCCTCCATTTGTGCTGGTGGCTGTGGAACCAAGCCAGGGCTGGTCCCTGTAATGCCACCGCCAGGCATTTCAGGATACTACCCTCCGGCAGGCTGTACGTGGCCCGCAGATGGTTGAGCCAGTCGATGAAATCCTCTTGCGGAGTAGATCCCAAAAGGCGAAGTCGGTGATACGGTCCGGGATGATGGTCCGGCTTCCTCGGGGTCTCCTCGCTCCGTGGCCATAGCCCGAAGATGCTTGCCGATTCTGGCCCGTAGTATATCGAGGGTGCCGGTGGAGTCGAATTGGTTCTCCCTTGCAAACAAAATTAACTCGGCCTTTGTCCGGCGGTAGATCCACCCCACCGATGACACACACTGTATGTGAAACACTCTCTCTCGCAATTGAGAGTCCTTTTTCGGGCGCCAAAATGTAACACCTGTGGGCTCACGGTGAGCTCGCGCTCGCTGGGAGTCGCAGAGTCGGTTAGTCCGTGTTCGCTCGCTATACAAGTTCCGCGGGGGAAGGCAGAGATACTGGGAGCGGAGTTCCACACTTTGCCGATGATAGGTCGGGCCGGCTGCAGATAACACACGGGTGTCTTCTTGGCGGTCGGGATGTCCCCGTTTCGGAGCGTAGCTACGACGACAGGACCGGGAGATACAGGGGATATCGGCGGGCAGTAGGCTGCAGATAACACACTCTGTACTGTGTCCGCCCCCTGTCGGAGGAAACGAGGATACAACCAAAAATCGTCGGAGTACGGTATTCACGGTGACAGTTCGCTCGCTATGATTCGGTTTATGGATCGGTTCGCTCGCTACAACGGTACCGGACGCTCTCCGCTGGTTCGGTCTCTCGCGCCGTCTTATATCGCGATAGGTCGTGGAATTAGCTGCGAAAAACCGCGGCTCGTAATTCTCGTCCTCTGTCGGCGGCGCGAATAGTTCGCGCCTCAGTTATCGCGTT